CGAGCGGTGGGGGGGGGACAAAAGCAGCTTCTTGTCTCACTTGGCACTGTAGACCCTAAAGCAGCCAGCAGCATGCTCCCAGTGGGAGTGCAGAGTTAGTCTCCACCACCACCCCCTCCCCAAGAGCTAGGCCTGCCGCTGGCTGCTTCTGGGGCGCAGCACTGTCCGCAGTACCAGGACAGGCAGGGAGCTGCCTTAGCCCCCCACTGCTCACCTCATCCCCCTGCAGCCACGAGACCCAGCGCCCGACATTCCATGACCCATAGATTGAAAACCACCGCTCTAATGTGCGACCAGTGGTGAGGTGGCTGTAAGAACTGAAAGGGATCAGGCTCACAACTCCGTTGATGGCTGGGGTAGGATTCTGACTTGACCTTTGCAGCTGGGTTGGTTGGAGGGAATAACTAGGCCACAAGTGATGAAATGACACTGTTACTTACCCTACATCTCTTGCCAGTGCTGGGGAAAGTCCGGTTCTGACTTCATTGGCCCAAGAGCAGCTCCCTCTTAGCAAGCACTGAAAGTGACGAGTCTCTTGTTAAATCCTGGCTCGTCAGTAGCACAGCTCTGGATGTTTGGGATCTGACTTCCAGGGCAGCCAGGGGCTCTGTAGTTGCTTGGCACCATGGACAGCCAGACCTGGGAAGTGTTTGGGAGTAGTCCAGTTGCTCTCTGTTTCCTCTGCTAATAAATAACAGCTGCTACAGTTTGTAGTGATCCTGCTGCAAAGAGGACCTGCTGGTGCCAGGGTGAGGAAATGTGACCCCAGTTCTGGTAAAAAAAAACAAGCAATCCTGTGGCACCTTATGGGGGGAGGGATAGCTCAGTGGTTTGAGCATTGGCCTGCTAAACCCAGGGTTGTGAGTTCAATCCTTACAGAGGCCATTTAGGGATTTGCGGAAAAAATTCATCAGGGATGGTACTTGGTCCTGCTGAGAAGGCAGCAGACTGGACTCAATGACCTTTCAAGGTCCCTTCCAGTTCGAAGAGATATAGGCAATCTCCATTAATTTAATTTATACCTTAGGGAGTAACAAAAAATGCAAAGAGAAGCATGAGCTTTGGTGGGTAGAACTCCCTTCCTCGGATGAGTTGGAGTAGAAAGAACAGAAACCAAGAGAGCTGTAGAACAGCGAAAAGTGTTTCCCTGCCAATTGCAGAACCCATGCTAGTGATGCTAATGAAATGGGCTGGGTGTATCCCATTCTGAGCTTTTGATGTGACGTAATCTCGCTGTAGTCTGTGTAGTATGACGATTGTGATGGATTTTTCACTTTATCTTTGGGAACGGCCATCTGTTTGCACTTGCAGAGGAGGGTGGTGTCTGTCTGTGCAAGTTTCTTTGGCTGAAGGGGGTTTTACCCGCGAACACTCGTGATACTATATATATTTTCTGTTAGTCTCTAAGGGTATGTCTAGACTACATGGCTCTGTTTCATGAGGCATAAAGGATCTGACAACAAAGGGTTCCGGGGTCAGCAAATCCCAGTCTAGACTGCCGCGCTGTGCCGACAAACAGCTGATTGGCACAGCACGGTGGCCATTTTGATGTAAATTGATGTGGCGATTATTTAAATCGCTGCTTCATTTTCCTTTGTCGTCCTGCCTCATCTACATGGCTCTGTCGAGAGAGCCGTGTAGTCTAGACACACCCTAAGATGCCACAGAACTACTCATAGGTTTTAAAGTTACAGAGTAGCATGGCAACCCCTCTAAGACTTTTATCCATTCTGGTGTTACAAAAGATGATGGTGCGCTCAGAGACGTTGCACAATTTAACAAAATCTCTGTAACTCAGATGTAACAATAGTCCCTCTACAGTCGGATAACAGCCTGTTAAACAGGGCTCTGATAGCTATGTTCCTCTCTAAACCAAAACTTGCTTTTTCAGCTATTGGTTTGGTTTCTGTTATTTACACAGCAAGGATCTGTAAACGTCTTAAAGCTTCCAAAATACAGAGGGGAGGGGGAGTGTTGAAAAGCTCGAAATGGTGCAGGGAAGAACCATACTGACTGGAGGACTGAGGAGTGTGCTCTTTGAATCTCTCGACGAGAGACTTTTTCTTTAGTTTCTCAAAAAGAAGAGTGAGCGGTAACTTCCTGAGTGTTTAAGTTTTTTTGGGGGAAAATATTCGGTCCTCTGGCTCTGTAATCCTTTGCAGAAAGGTGTAACAGGAATCTGGGGCTAGAAGCAGAAAAATTCCAGTTGGAAACAAGGCCCAAGCTAACCGGGAGGGTGTTAACTGTTGGAACAAACTAGGACAGGCTTCAGTGGCTTAAGACTGGCCTGTAGGATGCAGGAGATCAGACTAAACCAGCTAATGCTTCCATTTGGCCTAAACTCCATGGAAAACTCAACTCCCGTCTCAGTGCTGTGGGAAAGGCTCTGTTCTGAGTGTTGCTTTCTTCCTTCCCTCCTAGCACCCATGGCTCTGAACAGCAGTACGAACAGCGACAGTAAATCTGAGAAGCCGGTGTCTCTCATCTGGGGTAAGAACCTGTCTCATGACTATCCCTGGGGCTTGTCCTGCCTCCCACCTGCTTTTTTTGCCTGTCCGGTTGCATCTTGTTGGCTAGCCCAGTGGTTCTCAATCAGGGTACGTGTTCCCCGTGGGGAAGCCAGAGGTCTTCCGGGAGGACATCAACTCATTCAGACACTTGCTTGGTTTTACAGCAGGCTCCATAAAAAGCACCGGCGAAGCCCGTGCAAACTAATGTTTTGTACAGACAGTGACTTGTTTCTCGTGCTCTGTGAGCTGGCCACTGAAATATTATATTAGAAATAATATTAGATGCTGGTCCATTGGTGTTTAATTACATGGTGGAAATGAGACCATGAGCAGCAATTTCTCAGTATTAATGTGCCATGGCCTTTTTTGTATTTGCTCTGGTTCCTGCAAGCAAGTCATTTGTAAGTGAGGTGAGACTTAATATCTGCAGATATACCTATCTCATAGAGCTGGAAGGGACCTGGAGTCTAGTCCTGTGCCCTTACAGCAGGACTAAGCACCATCCCTGACAGATTTGCCCAAGAGCCCTAAATGGCCTCCTCAAGGATTGAACTCACAACCCTGGGTTTAGCAGGCCAATGCACAAACCACTGAGCTGTCCGTCCCCCAGACTTGGGGAGTACACAAGACAGATCCGACATTGGAAAGGGGTTAATCTCGAAAACGTGAACCACTGAGCAGTGCTACACACTCCGGAGGGCAGGGAGTGCCGTGTGTTGTCCTCCTAGCACAGCAGGGCCCCAACTTGCCCGTGTCTTCTCTGCGACTGTAATACAAGCTGTCCCAACAGGGTGGCTTTGGGCTATTCCAGGAAGAGTCTTGCAAGACTCCCCGGCCAATCGTAGCCCCCCGCTGAAACGAAAACACGTTTCCAAGGGGTGATGATTCTCTGCCTCTGACAAATCAACGGGAACCTTGGTAGCTCTGGAGGGAGTATCTGGAGGGCTCTCCTCTAGGGAAGAGGATGGGCTCCGCTTCTTAAGGCCGTCAGGTACAGTCTCTCCTCTTGGCTAGCTCTGAAAATCCTCTTGGCACAGTCTCCTCTTGGCTAGCTCTGCATGGAGCTGCCAGATTACTTTTAGCCCCATTCCTCTCTCCCCAAGCTAAGACCAGAAGAGCGGCCGTCTTGGGTCAGACCAAATGCCCATCTAGCCTATCGGCCGACAATGGCCAATGCCAGGAGACCCTCTTGTACAGTCTCTCCTCTTGGCTAGCTCTGAAAATCCTCTTGGCACAGTCTCCTCTTGGCTAGCTCTGCATGGAGCTGCCAGATTACTTTTAGCCCCATTCCTCTCTCCCCAAGCTAAGACCAGAAGAGCGGCCGTCTTGGGTCAGACCAAATGCCCATCTAGCCTATCGGCCGACAATGGCCAATGCCAGGAGACCCTCTT